TAATCTAATACTAGTTTTTAAATAACTTTCATTTTTATTAGACAGTCACCATGTGCAACTTGACCAAGCATTCTCTACACAACACACAGAGACACACAGAGACACACACAGAGAGAGAGAGAGAGAGAGAGAGAGAGAGAGAGAGAAAGAGCGAGAGCGCACATTAAACTCTGTTGAAATTCTATTTGAGGTCAGGTTCAACTTCTGCAAAAAACAATTTTACTTTCCCGTAGTTGACAACATTCCAACATTCCAGAAAGATCTTGGGTACATTTCTCTGCCCAGAGTTTGCACACACTGATGGTACATATATAGCCTAATCTGTTCATTTTACCAATGAATATTGTGTGACTAAGTCAAAAACAGTATAAAACTTTAAATGTGGCTAAACTTTTTAGTTCATTTTGCATTATTACTGAATAAGAAATAATAAGCACTTTACTAAGTGCTTAACAGGTGTTGCCAGAAATTATGCCATGTACTTTTACTACATTACTCATTTATGTCACACAAAAATTACATTTTATAAGTGAATTTTCAAAATAGGCCCAATGTCTCACTGTTCATAAATAAAAGAGCCAGAATGTAAAACTACATAGATTGAAAGCCTACATACTCCCTATAGCATGCCACCTCCTCTTTCACTTCTAGCAAATTTTCAGGTAACTAAAGAAGAAGGCTGGGTGGGGTGACTCCCACCTGTAATCCTAGTGCTTTAGGAGGCCAAGGCAGGAGGATTGCTTGAGGCTAGGAGCTTGATACCAGACTGGACACCATAGTAAGATCTTGTCCCAACAAAAAATAAAAAATAAGCCAGGCATAGTGATACACGCCTGTAGTCTCAACTCCTTCAGTGGATCACTTAAGCCCAGGAATTTGAGGCTGCAGTGAGGCATGCTCACACCACTGCACTCCAGCCTGGGTGACACATCAAGACCCTGTCTATTTAAAGGGAAAAAAAATGTGCCATGGGAGAGCTACCAGTTATGTTCTACTTCCTGTCTCCTTCTAGAGTTCCTGGATCAACCTTCAGAGCCTATCCCAAACACCATTTTCTGTGTATAATAGTGAGCTAATCACTCCCTCCAATGAGCTATCTCCATACCCTACACTAACTTCTATTATTTTCTATTACCTTATAGGGTAATTATTTGTTTTCTTTGTCTTTCCTACTCAGCAATTTGCTCTGTATACCCCAGATCCATGTTTAACTCATCATTAATCTCCAGGATCCAGTGCGATGCTTATTTAGTACCTAATAGAAACAGTCTATTTTGCTGCACACACTTCTGTAATATGAATTAGTTTATGTGCCACTGGTAATTAGGGGTCACGTCAATACAAAAGTCACATCATTTCATATGTGACTTTTCCAAACATGCTATCATTTCACATCACCAAATAGTATCAAATGGATGCAAAGTATACTAACTGCCAATACAGCAGGCTACAAACAGGAGCTCCACATTCACCCCTCCTTCTTCATCTTTGCTCAATTTGGCCAGAGCCTGTGTCTTGGAAATGCTTGTTGCTAAGTTCTCATCTTCATGCACTTTGCCCTTGTCTTCACTTTTTAGCAAACTTCAACTCTACTAGTACCCCCCCAACCATCCTTCTGTAAAGTTATCTTCACTATTTTTCTATGTAAATTCCTACAGCTACCATATAGTATGTATTGATTGGGAATTTAAAATTCTTTTTACTGGTACTAGTATTTATTTATTTATTTATTTTTTGAGACAAGAGTTTCACTCCATCACATAGGCTGGAGTAGAGTGGCTCACTGCAACCTCTGCCTCCTGGGTTCAAGAGATTCTCCTACCTCAGCCTCCGGAGTAGCTAAGACTACAGGTGCCCCACCACCATGCCCAGCTAATTTTTGTATTTTTCGTGGAGGCGGGGTTTCACCATGTCAGCCAGGATGGTCTCGATCTTGATCCACCCACTTCAGCCTCCCAAAGGGCTAGGATTATAGGCATGAGCTACCATGCCTGGCCTGTACTAGTATTTTTTATTTATACTGTTAATGTTATGGGCAATAAGTTGTATAGGGTTTGAGTAGTTGACTTAGGTATCATTTTTCCCATAAACTCTGTCATTTTTAAGTTCATGACTTTTTAAAAGATAAATTTTTATGAAATGCCTTCTAACAAAAATGCCCATACTCAAAATATTTGATGAACTAAATTACTGAGCACCCAATACTCATTAGGCATTACAACTTTCAATAATTATTTCCTCAATATCAAAGAGAACATTCACTGTTGAATACAAAGTGAATGCACTGTGCTAGGCACTGGAGACACAACAATGATGGGCAAAGAACAAATACATATATTTGCACGTGTATGCATGTGTATGTTATAGATACATGCATACTTTGTGTTTACATACATATATGCAGTATACGTACGTACATACACATGTACCTCCACACATTTTTGTACATATTCAAGTAAACAACCTTGAATTACATATTATTGTTAGGGGCACATTCTAATCTGTACTTCAGCAGTTTTCAAATTTTTCAGAAGAACTACCTTTTGTTTCTCAAGAGAAATCTTAAACAGAAACAAAATATAACAGAGGACTCCTCAAGAAACCTGAGTGCTTTAAAAAGCAGTGCTCTAGCAACAATGCCCCACCCTTACATGACCCCTTTAATAAACAGTGTCTGACTTGGGTTGAGAAAAATCAATTAGGTCATTACAAAGCTTCTAGTGAAAGTTTATTATCATTTGACTCCTCTCTCTTTCATCCCATACAGCTGCATTAGTAGGAGTCCTGAGACTACTTCTCCCAGGCTCTGTAAGGTTATGTAGCCAACTGGGGCTTAAAGAAAAGGAAGCAGAGAGTAGGTAATTTAGGCCAACTGTTTGAACTAGGGAAATCCCTCATTATCATAATGGTTAGATCTCAGATTAAGGTGAAAGCCTAGGGAAAAAGAGGTTTAAGAGGTCATTCAACTTGAAAAGTCAAGCTAAAAAAAAAAAAAAGAAAGAAAAAAATCAAGCAAGCAAACAAACATTCTCAGAGATCACAAAAGATCTCACCAAAGTCACTAGGGTGGGAAAACAAAAAGCAGTTTGAGAATAGAGTCCCCTCAATTTAGGATACATGAATAAACAAAACACACAAAGTTCCCCTGCTCTGTAAGATTTACATTCTTGGGGATGAGGCAGAGAAAGGAGATATAAATAATGAATAAGTCAATTGTATAGTATCTTACACTGCGATACATGACAGGGGAAAAGGAAACTGTGAATCCAATTAAGAAAGGTCAAGAGTACCAGAAAAAAAAAAATGGGTAAAACGAAAGGTTAGCAATGTGAAATATGGTGGACAGAATGGTTTCACTGAAAGCATATCTCTTGATAAAGTCTTTAACAATGGAGGAGATCAAGTTAGCTATGAGGACATCTGCATTCCTGCATCTGTAGAATAGCAACAGGCCCCGAATGAATGGGGCACAGTGAGCAAGAGAGATGGATTGAATAGAAGAGGTAAGAGATGAGAGAGAGGTGGGAGTAGAAGGCAGAACATGTAGAGACTTACAAGTCTTTGTAAAGATTTGGATTATTACTCTGAGCCACTACAGAATATGAGCAGATCTAATTTACATTTTAAATAGCGTGCTCTGCTAGATGAGGAAGAGACTACAGCAGAGCACAAACACAGGAAGATGGATTAGGCTGCCAGAATTATTCAGACAAGGGATAATGGTGGCTGAACAAAGGTAGTACAAGAGCTAAGTGGCCAATATTTTTTTCTTCATTCAAACATAGTCAAGTGAGTTCCAATCAATGTATTACATATTTTAATCCTTAAAAAAATTCTAATAGCAATAGACTGTAATGGATTTCCAACTTCCTTCTTAATATCTATGGATTGCTGAGCTATTTCATGTCAATAAACAGTCTGTTGCTGAGTTTCCCACCATTTTCACTTTTCACCATGAAATTGTTACTTGTTTATTTCTATTCCTATCCAAGTTCATGTTATTTTTAAATGGTGTAGGGAAGAGAAATGGAGAGGCTTTTTAAAGTCTACGTAATCTTTAAGTCCATAACTGTTTTCTTCTTTCCCCCTGCCCAAGTATATTTCAACAGAAAAACACATAAGCAAGCTATATACCATCTTCTACTAAGAAAAATGCTAAGCATTGGTAGGATAGTTTTCTTTATTTTCCCACTTCTAAATGTTATCATCATAACTCAAGTAAACTTTATCATTTCTTCACATTATTATTGGTAATCTGTCCCTTTAATTTCATTTCATTATTCAGAGAAGAATATATGCTTACAATATAACTGCTGACTTTCATGAAAGAACAGAAGTATTAGAAAAAAGGAATATTAGTTGAGTCTTATTGGGAAAAAAAAATGTAAGCTCAGTCGACTTGTAAAATTTTTTTAATTTTAGTAACTTACTAGTATTAGAGACCGAGATAAGGTTTGTAGATCACAAACTTTTCTTGTCCTAAAGAATTACTGTCCATAATACAGCGTGAGAACTTCACAGTAGAAAAGGGAATAAAATACCAATTATCCAATTTTATCATGCAACTATTAGGAGAGCCATGAAGGATTTACTTAAGAAAATGCTTAACAGTAATAGCCTCCTGAAAACATCAGAAACTATTCTCCACAACTAAACAGAAAACTTTGTGTTTCCATATGTTTATTTGCTAAGCCTTTTATAATAATGTTATTGAATAGCTGAAATAATCCTTTACAACTTTAGTCTCTCAGACATGCATTATCTTATTTATTCTACTATAATAATATGAGAACAGCCTGATACTTAATGACTCTAAGAAAGATAAAAAAAAAAACTTTTAAAAACAAGAAGGGAAAATTATTTACTGAAATATAAATATCCTCACAGAAGTGTTATTTTGATTTTGTTGGTAAAAGCATAAATGAGTTAACAACAACTCAACAACTAAGCAGGTCAGATGCACAGAAGGGGAGAGAGCCAGATCATGAAAGCAGTCTTACCTTCTGATGTTTTCCATCGTTTCCATAAATCCTCAACCGTTATATGTTTATCTTCTCTGTGCAGATGGCTGTGTTTATTAGTAGCATCTTTATATTTCATATCTTCTCTGATAAACTGTAGAAGAGAAAACACTAAGTTAAATATAAATTCACTATCTTAGTCTTGATAACTGAAGAAAAAGATAAAATCTGATATCCAGTGGGTGACTGTTTTCAAACAGTAACTAGTACATTTTTGGTATTGTAGTCACATTATTCTTACATACTTGTAAAATGTAGTTAATGAAATGTCTTCTGCTACTAATCATAACAATGCCAGAAGCAGCAACAAAAGTACTTATTCAACGTTTATTATTTACCAAATATTATTCTAAGTTACATAACAAATAGGTCTATACAGTCAGCTCCCTCCATATCTGTGGGTTCCATATTCGTGAAATTGAGAATATTAGTGGGGGGGAAATAGATGGCTGTGTCTGTACTGAACATGTACAGAGTTTTTAAAATCATTATTCTCTAAACAATACAATACAGCAACTATTTACAAAGCATTTATACTGTATTAGGTACTATAAGTAATCTAGAGACAATTTAAAGTATATGGGAGGATGTCTGTAACTTATATGCAAATACTATATCATTTTATATAATGGATTTGAGTATCCATGGATCTTTGGTATCCACGGGAAAGAGGGAGTCCCAACACTAATCCCCCACAGACATCAAGGGACCACTGTTTATCTGTCTAAACAGAGAAAGTCACTTAACTTTATGACAGTCCTATTAGGAAAGTATTATTTATCCTAATTCTGTAGATGAGAAACCAAGGCCCAAAGAGGCTAAGTAATTTGCCCAAGGTTGAAAACATAATGAATGTCAAAGCTGAGATTCCAATGGAAGCCATTTTATTATATTCAACAGCACTACATACTGCCTAAATATCACTGTATTCATTTTTACCAAATACTTAAGTTAGATGGATGTTTCAAAACATAATAAATAATAATCTCAATTACTGCATCATATTTCTATGTTCTCCTGCCTTTTTTAAGCTACTACTTTTAATTCAAAGACATTTGATTATGGTGTATAGCTAAAGCATACTTTACAAAACTGAAGTATACCTTCTATTAATCTTACTTTAAAATATATAAAGAAATAGGCAGAAGAATTGCTTGAGCCTAGGAGTTTGAGGCTGCAGTGAGCTATGATTGAGCCACTGCACTCCAACCTGGGCAATAAGGCAAGAACCTGTTTCTTTAAATAATAAAATAAAATAAAGCATTAAAATTATCTTTGCTAAAAACTAACCTGTTCTATATTACTTTTTAAACTGTTTTCCAATGTTTAACAGTAAAAAGCAAACCCTTTTTATGGCTTAATTCATTTATTAATCTTATCTCTGACAATCTTTTAGGCCTTATCTCTTGACACTTTCCCCATATATGTGCCCACTACTCTAATTATATGAAAATAAAAGTTTTTAAATTATTTATGCTTTTTCTACCTTAATATTTCTGATTTTTCTTGTTTTGTTGTTATTTTACATAGGATCTTTGTTTTCCTATGGTTCTAAAACTATAAGATAATGTAAAAGATTTCAGAAATCCATAATACAGAGACTGAAAATCCCCCACAACTACAAATGCCAGAGGCATATTTTTCTGACTTTTACACTAGCAATGAACATTACCTTCAGACAAATGACCAAATTTTGCCTGAGTAGAGTTGTTTGCTACTGAAACTAAAACAAAATTTTAACAGCTCTATAATACTGAGCAAATCATTTAACTTTTCTGAACCTCAGCAACCTTGGCAGCAAAATAAACAATGTTCGAGAATCAACAACACTGTTCAACATGTGGTCAGCAGAGCAGTGTCAGCATTAAGGCAATTAGAAAACACTTTCACAGCATCTGGGCCAAGCATGTGATATATATGCTCACCTTGTCCACCCTGTTCATATAGACCGGAAATTAAAACTCTGGTCCTTCATCATCAAAAGTTTGGAAAGTACTAATCTAAAAAATCTGTGTAATCTGTTCTTTGTTCTAAAGAGTGCCTTATTCCTTTTTTACTAAATGCTGCCTAAAGTTATATTTAAGGGGGACTGCCTGACTGTTCCAACTCCTCCCGTCACCTAGCTCTTCTTGACTGACACCTTCAAAATCCAGTAGAGACACCTGGAAAAATCACTACCAAAGAGATGCTCAGAAATTATCTCTATCTTGAAAAAGGTCCAAGAGCTGGAAAGAAATTCTAGACCGAAAACCATGATGGACAGAGCAGTTAGGAAATCTGTCTTGCAAATGGTCCAATCAGTTGGAACAAATGGCAACTGTTTCATTTACATAATATATATTAAAAACAATGTCCTAAAAAATTATCTTCACTACATGAACACAAACAATCTAAAAGTAGAGTTCTGTGGTTACAGGATCAATATATTTCAGAAAATAGGCACATTTCTACATGACTACATGTGGTATTTTAGCCACTTAACTATTTTAGAAAAGCCAGAATGAGTTTATAGACACATGCCAATATTGAGCAAATCACTGAACTTTTAAATAAATGATTTTTAATTTTTTTTAAGCTTTTGAAGATACCTATAGCTCATTTGGTATAAAAGAACTATCTGTTCCTAAAAAAGTTTTGTGAAAATTGAATAAACACAATGAATTATATTTTCCCTGGAATTACCATCTAAAAATACTTCATGTGGTTTGTTATGAGTTATTGCGATATCATACTTCTGACACCAGGATATCACAATAACTCATAACAAACCACATAAAAGTATATTCTGTATCTTAGAGATCTTCAATATGCTAATCACAGAATGTGACTAGAAAACAGTACAATTAGAAATATTTTTGTACAAAAAAAACAAAAAACAATAAAAATTAAAGAAATATTTTTGCCTGGAAAATGTTTAAATGAACCAAACACACTAAAAATCATCAGGTTCTATGAAACCTTTTCCCAATATCCTAATAAGAAAAAGCATATAATTCTGACTGGACTTTTCTAAAACCTTATTTTAAACTGCTAATTTTAGCAATGAAGTAGGGTAACTAGAGAAATTGTAAAAAGTCACCAATAAATGTGACTGTTATTAAATAATGCATATACAAAAGACAAATACTTATTTGTCTTCATTTGTCAAAAATCAAATACTTCTTATTTGGAATTCATGAATTAAGAAATCTGAAAATAGGATCTGAAATTCAATGAAGTGAGTCTTCAAATAACGTATGGCAAATAATGTAGAGTTCCCTGGTAAATACATCCAATTATATGCAAACCTACTTATAAGGAATCCTAAATTGACAAGGTACATAAAGGAGTGCTCAGCGAATAAATGACTATTGAATATTCTTTTTAAAAGATTCACTCAGAAGATTCTTTTAAATAAACTCTTCTCGTACCACTGAAAGTAATGCTTTGCATATCCACTTTGGGGAAGTTAGTTTTCATATAATAAACTGATTTCAGTTTCTCTTACCTGTAACTTAAATGTTGTACTTGTGCTGTTATTTTTATGATACTGCTTTAATAAAATCTGATATATGTTATTATACACATTCTGGGGCTTATTCAGGCCATATCCTTTTCCCAGACAAATATTCATCATTAGTATAGATCCTTGCACGTGTCTACCACCCCCTCTCAATCTATCACCCACAATCACAGCTATATTTGATCAAAGGATAGACAGACACCTCTCCCAGATGATAACAACCCTGAGACTGTGCCAGGATGGCAGGATTCTTCTCAGAATAAAATATAATTGAGAGCGAAAAACTGGACCACTTGGCCATGGCACTGGATATATAGGGAGATAAACACACTGATGGTGAATGTACCATTTTATGAGTAGTCAAGATGAGCTAGGTGGTAAGGCAAACACATGAAGCCAATAAATATGCAGAAAGAGAAATGAAAGAGAACAGAGGAAACTACAGGGAAAGACTTAGCACCAGGAACTGCCTCAGTTCTTGGTAACTTTCTATTTTTAGTTCCTCAGGAGACCTGTTTTGTACAATTTTTATCCTGATTTCCATAATATAAGTCTTTACCCTTCTATTTTTAAATATATAATTTTAAGACCTCAATACTCAGGAGAGGTGATTTATCATCATAGTTAGACATGCTGACTCAAGTCTGACATATATTCAAAACCTGACTCCACTACTTATTATAAGACATTTGCCAGCACTTAACCTCTCATTAGTCCCATTTTTCTCTTCTGTAGAAGGAGGAACATAAGATTGCCTACTACATAAGGTTACAAAGATTAAATTAAAATGCATACATAGTGTATGCAGAAGTGTTAGACAAAAATATTTTGAGTGATTTTTATATGTCGATGTTGGATTAGTGTCAAAGTTTAAAACAGAGCATCACTCTGATTATATTGGAAGGTTTAATACATGTTTTGGGGAATATCAGACATTTATGTAAGGTTGCCCAATACACCCATCAGTTATCCTGAAACAAAATACATAACAGACATGGAGCAGAAAACCCCAGTTTTATAATTGACAATGTAAGCAGAGACTTTCCCAAACAAACACAAGATCCAAGGTCTGAGAGGTGAGTCAGTTAAAACATGAGTTCTTAGCCGGGCGCGGTGGCTCACGCCTATAATCCCAGCAAATTTGGGAGGCTGAAGCAGGCAGATCATGAGGTCAGGAGATTGAAACCATTGGGCCAACATGGTGAAACCCTGTCTCTGCTAAAAATACAAAAATTAGCTGGGCATGATAGTGGGCGCCTGTAGTCCCAGCTACTCTTCAGGAAGTTGAAGCAGGAGAATCACTTGAACCCAGGAGGTGGAGGCTGCAGTGAGCCAAGATAGCACCACTGCATTCCAGCCTGGCAACAGAGTGAGACTCTGTCTCAAAAAACAAAACAAAACAAAACAAAAAGGTGGGTTCTTCATAAACAATTCCAAGGTCTGTCTTGAAAATACTACTAAAATAGCTTAGTATAAATGTCTCAGAAGAAAAAATGGACAAGAGAAGTTTTACTATTATTTCCACTTTTAAAGATGAAAAAACTAAAGCTAAGAGAGAGTCAGCAATTTATTCTATTTCATTTAGCTATTTA